TCACTCGTTCGTTTCCGCTTGTTAGCTCCACCCGCTGGAATACATCGACCGGCTCAGCAAGGCGGAGTAGGATCGGGTGAAACTATCGGACGGCATCTCTTTGCTCGTGCCCTCTAGTTGACTCGGCTATGACTCGACACCTTACCGTCTCCTTTTATCGGTTCGTACCTGATACGGCCAATGTTCATATGTAGGCTCGAAATAATGGGGTACCGCCTCACCTTCTCCTTGCACGCAGACTTAGACTCACAGCCTGCTCGTCGGCGAAAGTAGGACTCATCCGCCATGAGCCAGACAGAAACATGAGCTCATCTCGGTGTCTGTCGAGCTGCCAGGCATCAAAAGACGTGAGATGCGAGTCGAGAATAATGAGGATCACCCATTGGACGTTAGGAATTTGATCCACAAGGAGGGTGTTCTCTCGCGGTGTTCGAATGCCGAGACACGGTGGTATAAGTCCATTGTTCCTTGGGCTTTGTATCGGGTAGACATATCAGCACATGACTGATGCAGACTCGACTGAGAGAAGGGCCGAGACGATCTGAACCTTTCGGTGACGCATCATCGATGCCACCAGTAGTTATTTGGAAATGATAGACAGCATGCGATCGCATCGATATAGAGGAGCTCGAGGGAGGCAGGGCATTTGCTCCTTTCGCAATCGAGTGACGGCAATATGAGGGGTGTCCTGATGTGCGATCCAAGTCAGCAAAGATTGAACTACTTGGAGGAGTTATGAGTAGACCTCGGCACAGCCCATGGGCGGCACTGTGTGGGCGGCCCATGGGCTGTACATGGGCGGGCTTTGGGCTCTAGTCTGGGGCCCATGGGCGGGCCATAAGGGTCGTGGGCGCGCCCAGAGCCCACGATGGGCGGCCCAACAGCCCAAATGTGGGTCAGACAAGAACAGCCCGTGACATTCATAAATTATGCAAATTTTGGCTGAATTTTTTTGAGTATTTGGATTACAGACTCAGTCTCAAGTAGGGAAGAGGATCATATACTGTATATAGTGCAGTCAGATTAAAGACATTATATTTGAAATTTTACTCCTTATCTAGGGTCATAATACTCAAAAAGCTCTTCGTCCCGTCTTGCTCGCTTCGGCATCCTCCCTGATGTACGCCTCTGGGTAATAGGAGGCAACGGAATATCACCGTCATCGTCATCTTCTCCATCACTAGGTCGTTCCTGAACATCCATGTTCCCCTTCTCAGAATCCGACGCACTAGGCACAATACTTCGTCGCCTCTTGCTAAGGGTGCGCTGGCTAAATTTCTCAATAGTGACCTGATACTGGGTAGATGCTGAATCATCTTCCTCATCGTCACTGATAAGAGCAATAGGATCATCTTGAGGGATATCCTTTTCTTCCTCTGCTAGGTCGATCTCTTCATTGCTCCAGAACTCCTTAGCAAGCCCAAGTTGTCCCTCCTCAATATCAAACCTTGTAGTGCACATGTGCATCATAAGGTCCTGGATTGTTGTTGCTTTGAGCGAGCCTCGACGATAGTGACAGATATCCCGAGCAGAGTTAAACAGTCGCTCAACACCAGCACCAGTAGCAGGGATAGAGAGAATATCCCGTGCAACACTTGCTAGTACTGGAAATTCATGTTGATTATCCTTCCAGAATAGAAGAGGCTCAATATTAGTTGGTTCTAGGTTATAATAGGATTAGGTCCTGAGTGGTGTCAAAAGGATATAGAGTAGCACCTACCTCTCTGTAAAAACCGTTCAAGCTCATCCTGATAGTTTGATATCGAGTTTGGATTTTCAGACCGTGGTTGTGTTAGGATTCGGTGAAGCCTCGATACTCGTGTCGCTGGTGACTGCGCTATTGGGGATTGAAGATCAGAAAGACGTTGCTTGTAGGGTTCAAGGTAATCTTTGAGGTGTTGATGATATTTGTCTCGCCATTCATAGTCATTATCTGACCATTCCTGCCGTGTGAAGAATTGTAGCTTGTATTGTGGCGCAAGAATCGTACCCATCGCGTAAAGGTTGCCATGATCCCCACTCGTCTTGCCATAATAATCCTCTAACTTTTCCCTTGCCGCTTGCAGGGCAGTCAACATCGATCGTTTCCAGTGAACCTTTTTCCGCTGAAGCAGACTGATTGAATCGTCAAGGTGTTCAAAAAGGCGTACCGAATCAGGCCCAGAAGAGGACCTTTTTTGCCAGGAGGGTGAAAGACTCTAGTACTTTTATGGTTCAATCAATATCGAAGAAGTTGCGCGGCCTATCAACAACCGATGCGGAGCTGTGGGAGTGGCGGGTGAGTGTCTCCCATTCTGATCTCTACCAATCGCGGGTTCAAAGTGAAAGTGGTTGCTGTCAGGAGCTGACACCATCTTGCGCGAAGGTTTTAGTTACCGATATTTCCAACTGCTCCTGATCCGTCAAAGCACGGCTAAGTTTGAAGCTGCGGGAAACTAGTGCGTTGGAAATATTGCATGCCAGGACCGAGTCGCTGAATTGTGTGACACCGGGGTTTCCGGTACAGTTGGGTTTTCTCCAAACGATGAGCTGGAGTGGAGCAGAGAGTGTCTAGGGCTCGTCAGCAAAATCGCTCAAATGGATAGCTGAATCGACTACATTTATGGTAGGTTGGACATCGGTGACAAGTCTTGGCGCAGCCGCTGCGGTGGCGACCAGGGCCAGCGCACTTATCAGTGTGAGCCCGCTCACAAATTGCATGGTTATTACAATACCAGTATCTGATTTCTGAACAGAGTATCGTCCAATTTCTATATCGGGGTTATCATGACTCCAAACTCATCGGTGGAACCAATGACCGGTCGATCAGGTTATCAGCTCCCTCAAGCAAATGCACGGTTATCCACACCTCTTGAGGGCGGGGATTTAATTTGAGGCTAGCGGGGAAGTTGATGCCTATCGACCACGAAATGGATTCGAGTCGGTTTCAATCTCGGATACGTTCATGGCAAATAATGCGGGCTAACGTGTATCCTGCCCGGCGGCCAGCAGATCATAACCCCACGGCACATATGCGATGCTTCCCGTGTTGCTCGTAGAGAGAATCTTGTTTTATGTGCAACCCGTTCTCCAGATTACACCCACACCCACACTTAGACATCTGGGTGGTAGGTGTCGCTCTGTGGCTCCGAGGCAGGTACCTGTCACCTTCAACCGATTCTCTTTAACGTGCACAGGCCAAGCTGCTGGGCTAAATTACTCAAAGAAGCAACATTATAGCTCCATTAATGTTGTCTGAAATATTTTATGCCCTATGCGTTTTCGAGCTCATATGTCTCTAAATCTATCTCATTATTCCCAGCCCGTACACAGCTATGCATTGGCTCATTGGCGCTAAATTGTGGATGGATGCAAGGTACGACGAGCTTATCATCTATCTGAGTTATGGAATACAAATGGTACGCTGAGCAGTAGAGCCAAGAGATTTTACCATAAATTGAAACCCCATCGAAGTGAGGCCAGCCCAGCGATGCGCATGGAATGTGCTGGGTCTATAGTACGAAGCGCCGACGACAACCCACCAGAACTCGGGCCACAAATTGACGTAATTCGGTGTCAGCGTGGCCATGGTCGCCGATCAGATTGCTATCATAGCAATCATTCAAGAGATCCAATCGCTTTTCCTTCGGAAGGGATCTGCTCGCGAATGAGGACCAACTGCGCGGCGAACAAGGCTATACTTCAAGCCTATCATGGGAATCTCCCCGTGATACATGAACTCCCGGCAGATGATATAGTCAAATAGAGTGTAAGTTTGTCAACGAGCAGCTTCGCCAGATCAACCACTGAGCTAACATGGCGCTGGCCAAAAAATCACTCCATGTGAAAGCAATTGGAGCAGGTCCAAGCATCGAGTCGCATACAAGTCGGACAAATGTGACTTGTTTTTCCTTTTCTTTTCTCTTTTTCTTTTCTCTTTTCTTTTTCTCCTTTGTCTTTGTCTTCTAGGTATTAAGCTTAAGCTTAGTCAATGATGACAGAAATTCACAACTTGATGGGTTTTCTGCGGGCCTGGGCCAACTTATTCTCGACCCACTTCGAATGGTTGCCCATTTGAACACTTTCGATTTGCGTATCAAATTCCCTGGATAAAGCGTGCTGTGGCTTCTTTTAATTTGTGGGAGGTTGGCGTAGCTGGTGGATTTTCTTACTGTCGCCTGGAGGTCGTTGTGGGGTTGGCGGTGGTCCCCAACTGTAGGCTGGTCGCTATCGGGCAAATCTTTGTTTCTGGACCCTGCAGGGCAAGTGTCGGGGTCAAAGATCATCAGCTAGAGATTTCTTCCGGCATTTTGCTGAAAAGTTCTCTTCATAGCCTCACGTAGTGCTGAACTCGTGGAGGTGGCATTGATATCCGTAACACCCCAAATGTCATTCTGCTGTGCGACCTCCGATAACCTACCCTGAATGTTCTACCCATTATCAGCGCTCATGCCCTATATTCCTTTGGAAGAATGGTTCAGGCGCATATCTGCTGCGATCACCAGTCAACAAAAATACCACTTGCACGGATATCGTCTTACGACAGTCCGTCGTACATGATGGCGGAGATGCCTTTAGCAGATCTGGCCAAGATGGCGCTTGCTAGGCCCCGGTCGGCTCCGGTGTGTTCTCGGAGTTGAATTCCGACGGTGCGGCACGGTTCCTGATCTGCAGAAGCTTCATATCACAACAAATCTGATATATATTGATCAGCGTTCTCGTCTTTTGGAGACATGGAGGAGGAAGAGAAAATCTTTTCACGACTGCTCCTTGTCAGGCTTAACCAGAAAAGAATCTCAAAACTAAGCCGTCAGCACCAAGGAGTCGGAATACAGAATTCTAGCTCGAGCACCTTTATCGACAGTGGAGTGGAGAGAGTACTGCAAAGAACGCGGGCAAGAAATATACAAGTATTGATCTGTAAGACAGGAGAACTTTTGACTAGACAGAATCGCACATTTGCGACCTTCTGCTTTAGTAACACGAGCAGACGAGCGTAGCAGTGTGGGCAAGGGAAACGGCTAAGCCGAGTGTTTAAAAATTAAACAAATCTCTATAGGTGACTCAGGTGTGCCAGGTTGACTATCATCGGAGCCTGGCGCTCCATGGATTTCGAGGATCATATCTTGACTCTCTGGAAGCTCGCTGACCACATCATCATCAACCATAACATACATGCCCTTTTCGTTGATGTGCATGATACGAGCGACGCGCCTAGGATCAATGTGGTATTTCATCGAGATTTCTTTTATCAGGTCATGGGCGGTGCGCTCTGACAAGTAAATTGCACGGTAGTAGTCCGGTGGGTGATGCTCTGTTCCTTTCTCGACTCCGCTGAGTCGAACATAGAAGCATGCGACCGGCCTGGGGGTGCGCTCTGACGGAGGTGTATAATTTGGATCAATTCCCACGGTTTTGAGGGGCCCTCTTGCAACTTGATCGCTATATGGGAAGTTTTGGATGGTAGTAAGGCGCTTTGTCAATTCAGTCGTGTTTCCAGGTGGCGAATTCGAAGAGGCGTGAGTGTTGGGCGGGGAAGGAATCATGGACTCGCCGGACTGCAAGTTGTCTGTTGTTTGGAGGTTTGCTTTCTTAAAATTGATAGACTCCCCATCAACTGGCAATAGGGTGGGATGCAAATCAGGGTCATCGGCGTCATCGCCGCGCAAGCCAAACGCACTGACTGAACGAGTGGATGATAACATCCCTTGCGTCATAGTCATTTTAGATAACAGAGAGAGGTTGTCTGTAGCATCTTCTGGGCCTATTGACATAATACGCTTGTTCCCCGAAAGCTTCACGGAGCGGTCAAAGCCCTCGGCGGTAGCAGAAGCGTTATTTCCCCGTTTGCGCTTGCCAAGGCCACCACTAACCTCGGCCTGTGACGCCTGCCTCTCAAGTTTATTGACGGTCTTCTTGACATGCGCGATGTCGTTGGACAGCTTCCGCTCGGCACCATGGTCCCGAAAGAGCTTCACCCTGCAATAGGACAACTCCATATCACGCGTTGTGCCTGATCCGTTTCCAGGTGAAAAAGGCTCAGTTTTTGCACAGAGTCTTACGGGAATTCCCTTGATGCCCTTGGAGTGGCTGAAATCGGTTGAAAGGAAGTTGAACCGCACGGGGATGTTGCATTCCGATGTACCAGTTGCTATATTCGGTGCCCAAGTGACGCAAAAGCCGTCGACAGACGTGCTCTCGACTTGGACCTGACGGCGCTTGTCAGACTCGCCGCCTTGAAGGGTATTCACATATTCAACTGCTAACAGTTTTCCGCCGCGTTGGTGGGCTTCGTTGGAGCCTCGTCCTTCTTTCCACAGTTGCCAGCACGTCGACGATTTTGCTCTTTGTTCTTCCTCATCGAAGCAAACACGGATAATGGTTCTATATCGAAGCGGTTCGCAGGTGGTCATAGGCGACCTCGAGTCTCTTATTAAGAGATTGTATGTTTGGCCTTTATTGAGATATGTCACCGGAACTTCCTTCCAATCTTTCACCATTGCGGTTGGTGCGCGCAGGCAAACTTCAAAACGGAATCTGGAGTATAAGAAGACAAGGTCAGCATTGAACAAGGGAATAATTTTCTCGATATACGCACGATTCACCGCTAGCATATGATATATCACCATCCAGCGAAGGGGAGAAATCTGTAGGTGTTGTTATACTGGATGCTGTTTCCACTGGCATCTGACCAAAGGACGAGCTATCAGCAAAATCATCATCCACAACATCGTATTCCGAATCGCGGTACTTGAATGCACGTGGGGCGAAAGAGGCTCGTTGAATGAAAGGACTGATTCCGTGCACTTCGTTGGCGACAAACTGCCGATGAGATAGTTCGAGGCCACTAGAAAGTGGGTGTTGGGAGACACTTTGCAATGGGCTCGAAAGACAAAGCGGCGTCAAGAAGTGCATTCCCGTTGGTTTATGCAAGTATCCCGCCTTATTGGGGATCATTGCCCCCACTTCATCTTCATCAGAGTTTGGGGTGCAGAAGCTGAGATTCTGAAGAGGCAACATAGAAATCGAACCAGGTTTCGTCCCCGAGTGCAAGAAATTCAGTTCATCAATATTCCGAAGGGGGCGTTCATTAGTGGTATTTATGGGAGATTTGAGATCGTGGCTTTTTATCTTCATTTCATTGTTCTCGAGCATTCTAAGTGCCAGAGCTGTCGCATCAGCTCTACTGCTCATATTTTGTGTGAAGGTCGTGATCTGCGTACCTTGAAGACACTATGGGGTTCTCCGCCCACGCATTGGGTGGGCCATCCTTTGGCCTGCTCTGGTTGTCTCTTTGATGGATGACGTCCGAAAATATTTTTTGGAAGCGACTGATGAACTCACAACCAGGCTTCTGATTGTTGTTCCTGTTGCATCAGAAGAGATACGAGGTTAATAATGGCGGGGTTATATCTTAATTCAAGTAAAAAGAACTTACCGGTTGCTAAACATCGAGTGTGATTTCATCAAGGGTTCAGTCGATCGTAGATAACATAGATATGGAGAACTCTCAGACAAGGGGAAGGCAGAGGCATCATACTTATATGCATTGTGGAGTAGCTAGCTGTCCTTCTAGGACATTAAGAGGCCGTCATAGACCACCGTGGCTGCCGTCGCAAATCGTTCTCGGGCTCCACCAAGAATAAGGAACCAATTATGAACAAGCAATAATCGGAGAGAATTTGAGGTTTCAACGATCGGCCAATTGAGAATCTGCGATCTGCAATAATACTGCCTCCCACTCTTAATCACTAGACTGTCTACGAATGTTCATGGCGCAGAATTAAGTCGAGAAACTGAATAACCTCAAAGAGGCGAATGGTACCTGCGAAAACTACTTCTCTATCTGCATTCAGATAAGCCCTTACTCACATTACCCCATTCGTCAGCCGGGGGTTGAAAAGCTACCCATGCCTCAGCGTCGGATTCTTCATCTGCCCCCCTGCAGCAGCCGCCGTGAAGCCCTCGATTTTGGTTGGGTCCGCGCTGACAGTGTTGACAGTGCATCATGCTATATGTCTGACTCCATCCTTGACCAAATTCTTCCCTATCGACTGAGGTGCTTGGGAAAACAAAACATGAAATCTCTCGATTGCCATTATCATTGTGACACCCCTCAAACAGATCTCATCGGAAGATTCCGCAGCAAGAACTCTCAAAAATACATACCAGGGCTAACAAAAACCTAGAGTGCGATCAATCAAATACTCAAAAAATCCCACCTACTCAATTATCACTCATTTTTTACTTCCGGATCCCTTGTGGAATTCATAGTGATTGGGGAGGTCTTCATGGTCTGCGGACTATTAGCAGATTGCTCTGGCTGTATACTGACGCCTATCATTTTCCTTCAAGCTTCGCGCTGTTGAGGTGTAAAATGAAGAGGCAGGGAGGGCGAAACTGAAACGGGAGCTTTTCGGGATGATGCCCGGATAGAGATGAGCAATAACATGCTGATAGAGGTAGAGAGGTGTAGCCAGAATGACTGATTCGTTGTGTAGGAATTCAACGAAAGATATGGAGGTATTTGGCGTTGAAGCTTTAAAGGGGAAATGTGGGAGTTTGGGGGTTAGAAATGATTTGTTGACTGGAACCTTCAAAGACTTCTCTCTTTTGTATGGGGTTCCTTGTATTAATATAACAAATGGAGCTGCATTAGTGGGTTTGACCATTTTCCGTGATGGTATATGACATCATACTAGAGTGGAGTGAGATTTTGAGATAAAAGCGAAGAGGCCGGAGAACGTATTATGGCCTGGAATCAGCACGGCTCGATCACAATGGTGACGCGCCCGGTTGAAAAACACGTGCTAGTTATTGCCTCTAATGCATGGGCGTGCGAAACAAGAATGCTTGCGCTTCAATTGTAAAGGGATTGGACAAGCAATAATCTCGACTAGACGTCGCCAAAGCCCGTACAAGTCGGCACAAAAATGCATAAATCTCCTGCATAGTCTGATGATTTAAGAAATTTAAATTAACACTGGTTAGATACATACTCAGAATCAGGGGCCTGCTTCTTAGTAAGCTTCTCTTGTGGATCCTGTCCAAAGCGGTCTTGTTGTGATATGAGGCTGGTGCAGATCAGGAACCAAGCCGCACCGTCGGAATTAGCTCCGAATTATCTATACAGACGACCAAGTTGATTGGAATTCAACTTGGCTAATTGTTGTATATACAGTCTCATGTATCCCTCTGAAATAACAAGTTAATTCATACCTCTGAACAACAACAATTTCTTTTAATACAATTGTGGACCATATTAGGCAATTAACCGGACAGATCTTCTCAGTTCCCTGATCTCATTCCAGTCCATTTCAAACTTGGTGCACAACGTAGCCCTGGGAAATGGCACGTAAAAACGCGTTTGCCTCACGACCCAGAGCCTCCAACGACCCTGGCTGCGTTTGTTTTTGTTCAGATTCGTCAATATCGCGTTGAAGAAAACAGAAAAGATATTTATCAACTTTTCATGTCAAGAAGGGTATATAAAGCGTGAACATGACTGGTCCTGTCAACCATCATCCCATCCTCAAGTCCCCCGTCAGTTTCTAACCCGGAGGACGCGTGGTCTTCCACGTCGAGACTATAATGCTCTACACAATGGCCTGGTTTCGTCACCTTCGGAGCAGTCTGAGGAATTTACCTGTGAAACAGGACGCCCTTACTCTCTTGAGCCCTCCCCATCTAGGAACACCGCAGACACGCCTCAGCCGAAGCAGTCTTATTCTTTGCCTAGCTCTTTGTCCTCCCCACTTGATCCTATGTTTTCGGAAAGCAGGAGCAATACTAGTAGTCCACACCCGTATAAAAGACGAAAAACCAAGTCGTATTCTAGTTGGAACATTGAGCACTTTTGGACCACAGATCTGGATAGCACTTGGTGTCGGCAGGGTGACCCACTGAAAAAAGACCGACTGCTGATTTGCAAACATTGCAGCTGGTCCTCCAGAGATTCCTCGCGCTATGGTTCCACATCGAATTTGTTGGTGCATCTCCAGACGAAACATCGTATCAAGTCTGGGGCCGACTCCATCTACTTACCCGCGGTCGAAGGAAGCCTCGACCGGTTCTTGGAGTCGCCGAGGAAGAAGATTGGCGTTGAAGAAATGCTAGTCCGATGGGTCATTCAAACAAGACAGCCTTTCACAGTGGTGGAGCACCCGGCTTTCATGGCACTCATTGAAGCAGCGGGGGCGTCTTTGCCCATCAAGACTGCTGATACTCTCTTCAACCAAATCAAAGAGGAATTCCATTCAAGTAGAGCTTACGTGAACGAGGAGCTTACCAGGAGCAGCCGCACACTCGCTTTGTCTCTTAACGTTTGGACGTCGGAAAATCAGACTGCGATAATGGGTATCCTTGGCCATTGGATAACCCCCGATTTCGAAAAGCGAGATGAACTTCTCGAGTTCACCGAGATCAATGGACCGCATTCTGAAGAGAATCTAGCGGAAGTTGTCTTGAAGATGCTCGCCGAACTGGACATCACGCCAAAGCTCCTGACCATCACAGGAGACAATGCGGGCATTAACGGGACGCTCTGCGATAGCCTGCATGACCAGCTCCTCAAGAAGTATGATAACGACGATGACCTCTTTCGCATTAGGCCTCTCATGCGATTCCGCGGACGAGTCAGCTTCATTCCTTGCCTTGCCCATATCCTCAATCTGATTTGCAAAGATGTGTTAGCTTCTTTAAGGGCTGGTTCGGCTCGAGAAGCAAAGGCGATCCTGGACGACATGGCCATTCATACTAGCCCAGCATTCAACTCCATTCACAGCACGAAAGGAGCAATCATGAAAATACGACTTCTGACGCTATGGATCGCCCGTAGCCCACAGCGCCGCCAAGATTAGAAAGGAGTATCACCTGGGAAACAAGTCAGTTATGATGTTGACACCCGATGGAACTCGACGTATATCATGATTCAAGATGCCCTTCGGCTACAAACTGAGCTGGGGCAGTTTATGCGGATACATCCAGAACTTCAGACCCTCCAGCTTACCGATGACGAATGGTCGACACTTCAGCAAGTAGCCAAGATCCTCAAGCCGTTCTGGGACCACACAAACTCCGTTTCAAAGGCATTCCCAACAATTGTGGAAAGTCTACCGATTTACTGTAGTTTGGACGATTTGTTAAATGATGTTCGAAATGCGGAGGGAAATTTTGAAGACGTGAACATTGAAATTCGCGATGCGGTGGAAAGAGGCATTCGGAAGATGAACAAGTTTGCTAGAAAAATGGACGAAAACCTTCTTTACTATGTGGCTTCCGTGTTGGATCCGCGCATAAAATCGTCTCTGATTGTGTCTCAAATGAGCGAGCAAGATTTGGGGCTTATCCTAGGCATTTCCGTCGTGTGAAATTGATCATCCACGTCCAGCGGGGATGTCGGAAACCATATGGAGAACTCTGCGCAAAGCTCAGCCATACAAAGAGGCCTCTTTGTCGGATATTGATAAGTACTTAGATTCCAAGCCGGTCAACTGGTCCGCTTAATCATATCCCTAGAATTAGGATGGGGACTGATGCATACTCGGACTTTTCATGTGCAAGACACGATGCATTACCGAAAATAAAAAATAAATTCCTGCGCATTTTCCAAGCTGCCACCACAGAGAAATTACCGAAGGTATGGTAGTTGATGAGTGGAGGTGTCATTGTACCCATTTCCAAGTGCGGCAACTTTCTCTCCATCCCCTGGCTTGCAAGCCATGAAGTAAAGCTCGTTAATTTATAGGATGCTCGCAATGAGAGGGATGACTTTGAAATTCCCAATGCGATCCAAGCTCGTCGCCACCAGAACAACTGCGCAGCATCGGGAAATAAGTGACTAATGCTCGAAGCAAAGGTCGAACTGTCATTAGGCTACCGGCAGCGATCCCAAGACTGGCTTCTACGTTCGACCATATTGAAATCTGTGTTGTTTCGTCTGCGAAAGTTTTAAGAAGTTGACGGTTTGGGCGATGGAATCAACTCACATAGGAAGTCTGGTCTACCTGCGTAATGCAGAAATGGGATGCGTATTATGACAGCGATGCTAGCTCTTCCTATGATCAGCATAAGCTCGAGAATGGGAGAGCAAGCAGAGCATACGAACATGCAAGCAAGTCCCAGAATTCCCGACACAACAAATTTCGTTCCACGATTCATTTGAAGCCTCCAAAACATAAAAATAGGCAGAGACCCAAGAGTAAAATCGCATGCTGCCGCTACCCCACTGTACATATAGACGATACCAAGAAGAATGTTGATGTCAAGGCATCGGCCTTCTGTTGATGATTGTTTCCAATAGTATGCAACTGGCCGACATTGAAAGATCGTGAAGAAAAGGAAAACGGTTCCCACCGCCGTCGAAATCATCATAACACCGTAAAGAATCCACGAATGGATTCGCTCGACCGTGAGGCGAAGAAAGGTGGTGGCAATAGATAGCCTAGCAATGGTGCAAGTAAATACGTATAATATCTGTCCTAGCCACCAGCACTATCAGAAATAGCAGTCAGCAAGTTTTGATTACATATCATAGGTTGTCACAGGATGCGTGTGACGGACACCTACCAGCAGGCCGCGGCGAACATCGTCCGGTCTATGACTTAAAAACGCCGGCACCTTTCCCATCCCGTATACGGCGCCCACGATTCCGCATATAGCAAACGCTATATTAAACACCTGCGCATATTTGAGTTTGGTGATTGAGTAGTTTAGGGGCACTTTTTCAGAATTACTTACTGCTGCCGTTACCATCAATGCATCGTCGGACCCAAAAGACTTTGCAATTTTCAACCGAGTAAAACAGCGGAGACTGACAGTGACTAGGGAAACCCCCAAGAAAACCGTAGTGGTGATAATAATGGCATTGCTGCCTCCATTTCCCATAGCTTTGAGGACACGGATGTGCCCGGCAGTATGAACTGGCTGTCGCAAGATATTAGCGGCTTTAAAAAGCTTAGTTGAATTATTATGTAAGAAGAAAAGAGACGACGTCATCATTGACTGGTGACGGAATGTTCCTCCCGCAAATCACATTGCAAGGATCAAGCCGCATAGAAGCATTCCTTCTGGCGAGCAGGTAAAAGGCTTTTGCAGCCGGCGCAAGAATAGACTGCGAGTGATAATAAGTCCAATGATACAGGCCCAAAAAGTCAACTTAGGGATGCCTGATAATCATAAAGCAGGGTAAGGCAACGTCAGATTCAAGTAGAAATTATGCCCAGGTGAAGCACTAGTTGACAACTTTGAAAGGGATAACATTTGAAGGCACTAATCTGGTGTCTTAGGAAAAAGAATAGAGCCTCATGGCCCCCACTGAGAAGGATCCACTCAGTGCGTCTTTACGATTTACGTGCTTTATTTCACATTTTTAGATGCACGCCATCATTCTTCAGTCACAAATATGTGTCTCACTCTCCTTAACTCTGAAATTCTTCTTCTTCTGAAACCACCTTCACCTCGAGCTGGGTATCACTTGAGTTTCATCACCCATCAAGTATGACAAACTCCACCGCACCGTGATTTTTGAGATAATCTATCTCCTGAGGTCTCGTGTAGGATCTCGTGACTAGTCACTTCCCAATCAATAGACCTCACGTGCGCCGCTTCTTAGACTGATATTTCCCTCAAACGCATTTAAATCTACTTCCAGTTACTCAAAATTCCCAGAAAAGACATGATGGAGGAACGAAATTCATTTGGAGCTAAGTGCAATAGGGCTTCCCGACCGCTGTGGACTGTATTCGAGTACTTCATCTAACGACATGGTTGTGGAAGGGATTTCTGGCGATGGGAAAGGATCATCGAGGTGCTCGATGGGAGGACCAATATTTCCGCAGTGATCTGCGCTCGTGGCCTCGTGGCCCACATCCAGACGGCGCAATGAGCTCCGCGAAGCGACAACAGAGATATTTAGGGTCAGTATAGCCTGTTGCAAAGCTAGACGACGCTGACTCCTTACAGTGGATTGAGAATGTTCTGAGACTCATTGACCTCAGAAGCAGCCAAAGAGGCACACGTCGCGAGCGCTCTGCTTCTTGTATCACAGAAGCAGCCGAAGAGGCGCACATGACTGTGCGCGAACGTTGACATCGGGGTATCCAACGCGCCCCAATCGAGATTTCGATACATTAAACCAGCCAGAAGACCAGCTTGAACCATAAAGCCTCCCGTATCTACAGAGCAGCCATCTGCCAACGCACCGGGGCAGAAACTGTTGGATATTGAAATGAGATCAAAATATTTCGTTGCGCGTATTTTTTGTAAGATATATTTGCAGTCTTAGTGCATCTATTTCCCAAGTACCGCTTATTGGCGCAGCTGCATTAAGTACGAAAAAAAAAAGCCGGACTTATCTATCTATCAGCAGAGGTCTGAGTAAACGAAGGGAGAATCAATCCTTTTTTTTGTTTCGTGGGGTCAATAGATTTTAGATATAGCAAAGGTCAGATTCACTCAATTACTCGCTGAAAGATGGTATGCAAGTCTGGTCGTTTGATCGGTTTGATAAGGAATGTGTCAATGCCGGAGCCAAATGCCTTCTTCTGGGCACTAGGGCTGTCAAGTCCAGTCAAAGCAGCGATACATGTTGCTGGCGGGGATTTTTATGTTGAATCACTTGTCCTAGCCCTACGCTCTTTCTCTGCGCGTCTAATTTGCCGCGAGGCTTTATAGCTATCCATAATGTGCATTGAAATATCTGGTAATGTTATTCTTCCGTCGCGAGCAAGGATGGCAAGGTAACAGGCAAGATAGCAGAGGCGCAAGGGAATAATGATACGTGAACATACCAATGATGATCACCTGAAACTTGCCAGGGTGGGCTTTGAAGATCTCAACCGCTTCTCCACCATCCTTAGCAGTCATGTAGTTACACTTGTTCTTCTTTGTATAGGCGCATAGCAATTGAAGATTGAGATCATTGTAATCCACGAGCAAGACAGATTGCTCAGCAATCTCAAAGTCACCGTCCGCATCCTGGGAATATGATCCGAGCTGGGCGGTATCCAGTATGCCCGCTTCGGAACTTCCCTTGCGCGTTGAAAATTGGCTCCCGTTCCAACGCTCCGGGCTACTCATGGTATCTTCTATCGGTCGCTTGCTGATTTTCATTCTGTCATTGGGAGCTTCAGCTTCTACCAGCTCAGATGGCAGTGCTTCCTTCAGCAACTTCGGTTCCGTTGGTGAGAGCTCCCCCTCTCCCTTAGTGCGAAGCGTGCTTGTTAGTCGGGGAGGCGTACTCATAGTATTACTACAGCCTACCTCTATGCTCCTGAGGAGGCCATTACGGCTGCATTCCCTGATGGTGGCTCAAAGACCCAGCCTGAACCCTCTATGGCTTCTCCACATGTTGCTGGCGCCGCCGCCTACCTGATGGCTCTCGAGAGTGTGACCCCTGATAAAGCTTGCGCCCGTATTGTCGAGCTTGCTATCACGTCTGTCCTCAGCGCTGAACGGACAACACCACCAGATTTTGAATAGCTGTGTTTCCTGGCCAGTCGCCAACCGGGGAGTGGTCTGTCCCAATGGCGAAAAGTCAGTGCTTCAAGAACCAATATATATTATATTCTATCCCTGGCTCGGGGATTTGATGAAGGACCAAGTCTTCATATTCACGGCTTGTGAGCTTGGATAATCCTTGAAGATTGGTCATACAGGCCTGCTGGTCAAGAAACCCGCAAAACCATAGCCTTCGATTCGTGTAGCAGTGGTTGTTGAAGTACGAGTCGCATTTCATTGTCCACATCACATTCGTCCAGTACGTCAATCTCTTTCACCGCAATTGGGATTGAGAGAGTGGATATATCCCACTCCAGCAATGGCTGAATGAGTGAGACTTTTATCAAACTGTTCCTTTTAATCCACAAGATCAACTCATCGAACAGCTTCAAAGAGAGCTCTCAGTAGCCACGCCTACCCGACATACACGTACTGCTCCCAGAGATATAGTGGGAGGCCTTTCGTCTAATCTCTCCCTCCAAGCTCGACGAAGTTGCTGCTGGCGATTCTGAGGCTTTGGTTTAAACGTTTCGGATAGCTTCATTGGTTTCTTCCGCGGCGAGTCCTCGCCAACAACGAGGTAGTGGTGGTCCGTGGCTAACGAACGGGTGATGAGCTGTTGAATCGTGACATTGTCTTCAATAACCTCTGCCGTCGCTAGTCGCGGCGATTGTAGGCTAGTTAACTAGTTGACTAGCTATCTAAATTAGTTAGTTAATTTGTTAGTTAGTTAGTTACTGGGTGCCACCTGTGGCCTGAAAAACCAGGCAGCTTTTGGAACGCCGCGTATAAGAAATGGCTTGCAGAACTTGATATAGCTCGGCTTTTGTAGTTACAAGTGATATGGGTATTGCTCACGCTACTTTGGGTCTCATTGGATTCGATTACGCGTTGTCCTCGACACTCCCAATTTGAAAACGAGCTCCAATAGCTACACTGGTGATTGTTTCATTCATTCAATCTACTTATCTCTACTTTCTTCGTTGAATATAATTTTGAATGTGAGGGAAAGCTCTGTGTAGAGCGAGTATCAGGGCTCGGAATTGTGCTGGCAACCTGGCACAATGGCAGATCACGAAGCGGTATAGGGGCCAGGGTCCAAAACTCCCTAAATGCCCCTTTGAGAAGCACTTAATTCCGGCAGTAATACAATGAACCCTGAATTATTAGTTTATGGGCCTTACTTTGTAGGCAAAGCACCGAATTCATCCCAGGTGCCATAGACAGAGGCAAGATGCTAATTTTAGTGAGGCTATTCAGGTGTATACAAACACTCATATCTCCCATTACCTAGATGGCTTTCTAGATGGGTTTCGAGGTGGTTTACCTTATGAATAGCAAGCCTGAAATTGACCTAACCTGGCAACTCAGGGAGCTTTGAACCCTGGCTCCTATACCGCTTTGTAGACGGATACTACTTGTGATTACTTTCGGATGAGTTCGCCACTTGCTGAGTCGCAACATTCCATCGAGAATAAACTGATTTTGACGGCGGAATCGCTTCCAAGGCTAATGGTAAATGTATATTAATGTTTGAACTTAGCTTCCATGATCTATAGATAATGTCTATAGAATCGCAAAGTCGCACCGTGTTGCTAGTAAAGGAAAGACTGCTTTGTTAGAGGAAGTGAGCTCGCAGGCTTAGACTTGAGCTTCATGCTATCGCAAGAGACGGCCTTAAAAATAAATTAATGAACGTCTTCAGGGCCTACCATGAGATATCCACAGTTTCAAATGACTTACCAGGGTCTTTGGATCAACTTCAATCTCCGGGATAGCGTCGTTGTACTTGAGGTCATGTTTCGTTACTGTACGACAGTTCTTCACTACCTCAATCTGCTTCCTGAGCTTGTAAGAGTGGACATCGCCACCCTTTGCAACGCTTGCCTGTGACACAAACATCACACTCGACTCGGGATGGAGTGCCTGGGAATCGGACGTTAGAGTTAGGGGGTTCAAAATCCGCAGTGAAGAAGTACTCACACCGTACATCGGTCGGGCAATCAAAGGTTCTATATCTGCAACACTATGGAATGTTAGCATTTAAGCATCAAAATGGATGTTGAAACTCTTACGCTCCATTGGGATCACCCTGCGTCGCCATGTTAGCAAATCCCTGAGCAAAGATTTGGTAGAGAAGTACTCACCATTTGTGCAAAAGTGATGAAACCACTCTTAAGAACTTGGAAGGGCTTTGTGCCAAACTCTGAGGGCTCCCAGATCACCAAGTCAGCCAGTTTCCCAGCTTCAACACTGCCAATCACATGGCTGATTCCCTGAGTCAGTGCAGGGTTGATCGTGTATTTGCTGACATAACGCTTGACACGATAGTTGTCCGCTCCAGTTTCCTCATCCTCAGGGAGTGATCCCCTCTGAACTTTGTTCTTGTGAGCGGCCTTCCACGTGCATGTCAGAACCTCAGCGGACCTCCCCATGGCCTGCGAATCGGAAGACATAATGCTGATTGCCCCAATATCATGCAAAATGTCCTCTGCAGAGATAGTTTCTTCTCTGATGCGGTTCTTGAGGAAGGAGGCGCCAGCGGGGTTGTCCTTTGAAAGACGATGGCAGTTAGCAGCCATATCAATGTGCTCGTCAATCGTGTTTGTCGTGAACGGCATGGTAGGTGTCGTGCTGCTGGGGAGCACATTCGGGTATTTGACTAGCTTGATCACATCGGGAGCATGGCCTCCGCCGGCTCCTTCAACGTGATAGACGTGAATGCTACGGCCCCTGAAGACTGCAGCAGTATGTTCGAGAAAGCCAGCTTCATTGAGACCATCGGTGTGGATGTGGCATTGAATATCCTGCTCTTCGCAGACGCTGCAGATGGAAGTCAGTAGGGCTCTATGGTCACGTTGTTAGTTGGAAAAGGCGAAGTAACATACTTCAGACACCTATCAATTGTCGATGGCGTGCAGCCAAAGTCTTCATGCAGCTTCAGTGCAATGACTCCTGCGTTAATCTGATCCTGGAGGCCGACCTTCTCGGAATCGCTTCCCTTTCCAACAAGTCCAAAGTTGAGGGGCAGCTGATCGCATGCCTGCATCATCTGTTTGATGTACCTCTTGCTTGCAGTGCCATTGACTGCCGTGGAAGACGTACTATAGCTGTTAGCGCTTGGGTATCATTGTCAGGACTGATGGATTTACCTTGGACCAGTGCCTCCTCCAAACAGGGTGGTGATGCCAGATGAAATCGCCTCATTCCCCTGCTGGGGGCAGATATTATGGACATGTGTGTCAATTCCGCCCGCCGTGACGAATTTCCCTCCCGCATCAATGATGTCTGTGTTCGACCCGACGACCATGTTGTCGGAGACTCCGTCCATTGTCGCTGGATTGCCGGCCTTGCCGATTGCAACGATGAAATCATCCTTAACACCAATATCGGCCTTGAAAATGCCGGTCCAGTCAATGATGACCGCATTGATGATAGCCAGATCGAGGCATTCGGAGTCGGCGCGGCCACTTGCGGCACCCATTCCGTCGCGAAGTGTTTTGCCACATCCCACTGTGCACTCGTCACCATATACCGTATGATCATTCTCGATCCTGATCCAGAGGTCTGTGTATCCCAGTCGAACGAGGTCCCCGGTAGTCGGACCATACGAAGAGGCATACGTCGCCCGGTCAACCGAGCAGGGCGCAATGTTGCCCTTCTCAGTTGTCTTCTCAGGTGAATGTCGGTACCCGGCCTGCTGTAACTGTTGCAAGACCTTGGCGGAGCGAATGGGATCAAGGGGCCCTTTAGCATGGCCACTTCCGCCTTGAATGATCTTCGAGCCGCCAATCTGTACAAGGGTGACAGATTTGGGGTGATTAGGTTCAAAGCAAAGGAACTCTCCGGCAGGTAGATCGAGATGGTAGCCATAAGCCTTTTCGCGGTCGAATTCGAGGTCAGGGTTTGTCTCCATGAAATGGAAGTGTGAGCCAATCTGAGGATGATGTTAGTACTGAGGACCTGCGTTAATATCAGATTGCATGACTGACATAAACTGCACGAGTTCCCTTGTTGGTAACAGTGAGCGTAACCCTGGGACGTCCCGGGTTCAGGATGATGTTTCCTGACTCCGCCGGACGTACCGCACCTGGCATTGCCAGAGGGTGAAAGTCCGCCTCGTTGATCACAGGGAAGGGATCTGGTAAAGGAACCGGAAGGAAACTTCCATACAGAGCCATTTTGAAATCGCCGTCATCAGTACTGACCGGGTGGTAAATTGTGATGAGGTGCGTTCCTGTCTCGAAAGTTCCTTCCACTTGCATCTTCTTGAGCGTGCCAACGACAGATGGGTGTACATGTCGTCGGCCCAGGATCCCTTTGCCAAGATTCATAAGATAAGAGACTGAATGATTTTTATCATGTATTACCTGGCGAAGTTAGCAACAAAAGGTCATAAAGGGACATCTTGGTAGTAATACAGACCTCTTGGAGAACAGTAGCAATGAGGGCCTGACCGAATTAGTCTACAAAAGGGCAAACTAGGATGATTGGAACTTACAGTAGCCTCTAGGTGGTTCAATTTCTTTCCATTAGCCAGTCGCCTCTGGGCAAGACGACCAGCCTGAGAGAAAAGAAGCTTCTCGACCTTTTTGAGTGTTGTCAGTCCAAGTACCATAAGTGCAGCAGAAGAGTATATACCTCGCGGGGCGTGTAGTGCATTATTCGTAGCTTGTTTGAGACACGGCCGGCTTGCTTGCGTTGATCAGGACACTTCGGAGGAAATGATAAAGGTGCTGAACTGGGAAAATTTGAGCAGCGATATACATGTCTCCTTGGCCTTCTTATAATCCTCCCATGTGGGTATTATACTTTTTCGGCCTACATGAGCCGTGAATCATCGACTACTAGACTGCTGTCTTTTCGGCGAAATTGGTGGAGTTGAGCGTAGTCTTGCCAGATGGAGGACTTGTGACGGGGGTCGTGGAAATTATTCTAGGCTGCACTTTCAACTTTCGCCGAAAGGCGAAACGTCGATACTGTTCTGTTAAAAGTCGTCCAAGGTCCAAGGTTGGCCGCTCGGCCGCTCGGGCGTGAGTATCCATGGATGTGGCGTTACGGCATTTTTACCATTAGCCGAGCTAGAATGAAGGAGCGCGGAGATAATGAAGTGAAGTAATGGAGAGGAACTGTTGTCAGGGTTTCATAGATGGGAGACACAAATCACTGGAATCTGTAGTCTATCGCCAATGGCGCCAGAGTATGTGCCGACACACCACCCCGCCCGCCCGTACTCGGCGACGATGGGACTCGAACCATAGAGCTCTGTCTCTCTCGACGCCGCCTTCATCTCGGCCGTCATGTCCGCCTATGAAAGAAAAAAAAAAAAGAAAGAGTAAAGAAAACACCCCCTCGATTCGAGAAGTTCAAGCGCCTTTGCGAGCGGCGAAGTCATGTCCCGGTGTTCATGGAGCTCCACGTTTGTTCCTGGCAGCACTTTGGATGCACAAAATTGGGTGGCGCGGAAACGAGAAGCCAGCCCACGATGCGCGATTAAAAGCTTGGACATGCGTACTTCGAGACACAACGGCCCTGATGTCACGTACGTTAGAGATAGCCTGTTCACCAAGCTACCGGGGGGTTAGTAACTGTGATGACCAACTCTGCAGGTTATCTATCAACTGACAAGAAGGCAGTAATAACGGCCGCTGGGATCTTCTTGATGCAGGCTATGGCTTTTGTGGTCATCGGATCGTTAGTGCTCACTCGAAGGTTCAGGTCTTTGTCCAAGAAGCCCTTGGGCGATAGCAACTGTCAGTATACTACCCTAACGCATGATTCAGAAAAAAACCTCGATGGGGCAGTGGGGTAAGCGGCTTTCCATGGCTCGGGGGGCCATGGCTTTGCACAATCGATGGAGTGCTATTGTGCATCACTATCGCCAACTTGAGAGTATCCGGTTGGAGTTGCTTCTGAAGGGGTTGGCTCAATGAGGGTGGCACCGAAATCTTCCACGTGGCGCATGAACATGGAAGATAAAAGAAGGGAGATGGCTTGGTTATCTCCGAGATTTGGGAAGACGAGGTGCGACTCTCCTCCAGACTTATGCCCATAGTCGAACAACTTCACCAAGCAAGACAAGCAAGAGGTGAGTGAGTAGTATCGAAATGCAATATCGATTTCTCCACAACGTATAAATCGCGGGTGAAAGTGTGCTATTCAAGGGCTTGTAAAATGGGTTTCCCGGATATTCTGGATCTTTGCTTTTTGCGATGCAGATAAGTCACACATGTTGAAGCTGCATTCGGAAGACTGGCTGTTGAGAACATAGAGTAGAGAGGAGCTGGCCCCTGCTCCTTGATTTCTTGATGATGTTAGAGCCATCGACACCGAAGAGCCTCCTGGCGAGGGTGGGCGTCGCTTTTGATGAGACGCCGCATCTTTGAGCAAGAGAGGATAGGGAAATGAGATCGAAATTGTTGTGATATGAGGCTGGTGCAGATCAGGAACCAAGCCGCACCGTCGGAATTAGCTCCGAAGTGTCTATACAGACG